GCCATGGAGACTTCCACTTGGTGGTAGGTAGGCGGTGGTTATGATTTCCGAGCCCCACATACACATGACCGGGAGGCAAGGCGCCCTGTCGCAAGACATCGTCAACACATGCTCTCGTGGGCACCCTAGCCGCTTCAGCTGTGTCCAAAGGCCGCAGGCCCAGGCTGATGGCCAGTGGGGTCATAGCCCACTCACGCAGTGCTCTAGGATCGAGGTCAAGCCAATGGTCTCGATGCCCAGTGCAACTCGGCGATGGGGACCTCGGCACATAGAGCTTGGCGTGCCCAACACGCACTGCCCACCACGAAGCTGCCGTGGCAATCGCAAAGCAGAGCTCTGCTGTATACTCGGACTCCTCAGCTGAAGGAAAATGGCGCTTGCCATTCTGGACCCAAGGTTCCCATTCCTGGGAGTCATGGAAATGGTTGCAGTCAGCTCGTGGCCATTGCGCGATCTCTGCAATGTTGTGGCGCAAACGCTGCAGCTTTGATCTTGCGCCCCCAAAACAGCAGGCTGAATACCGCTGGTCTGACCAGCGACCACTCTCCCACATTGCCACCTCATCCGGTGTCCACCAATGGAGGCTGTTGTATGGGTTCTCGCGGACTGATCCACCACCCCTGTCCACCAACTGGTCGATCTCAGACAGTACAAAACTGGCAGCTGCGTTATCCTGCTCCACCCGTTGCTGCTGAGAACCTGTCAACTCAGGTAGCCCCAGCGGGTGCTGTTCAGATCGCAATGGCCGGGGTGGTGGGCGCCCATCACCAAAGTCCCGCGGAATTTCCCTCGCGCGGCTCTTGGTAGAGCAATCCAAAGCAGCTGCTATGAAGCACACAGACTGCAACTGCTCATGCAACGATTGCTGCCGGAGGCGATTGGATAGGTCGTGACTCCTATCCAACATCCAATCCACAGAAATGGTCTCCCAACCACAGAAGATAAAGGCTTTGGACAAAGGTGTATTAGGCCCCGCATAAAGGTCCGCCATCCGCGGCAGCTGACAGTCAACACTGTCTACGGGTCTAGCCTCATCCTGCCCAGCAGAAGTGCCCGCCTCTCCCACTGGGCCCCGTCAAGGCGAAATCTTCGCCCGACATTGAATAGCTCCATGCCCCGGCATACCACAAATGCGCTCACCGCGCACCACGATGCCACACTTGTGCTGGCCTTGGGGGCAAGAGCTCTTGGGGTTCTTGCACTGTCCATGTTGGAAAGCCTGGCAAATCTTGGAGCCATCGCGCATCACCTTGGCCACCTTCTTGCCACTGACTGACTTGCCCAACGCAAACTGGGATGGTTGCTGGGCTGCTGTCGCAGCGACCGTAGTAGGCTTGCTCGCCTCGGCCTTAGGAGCTCCGGGCACCGCATGTGGCACCCAATGGGCATCACGTGCCACACTGGTCTCCTTGATGACCTCCCCCAAGGACTTGGATGATTCCCGAAACTTGGCAACCCAATCGGAATGATCCTCAAGGTCACGGGCCTCGAGCCAAGCCAACCTCTGTGACAACGGCAGTGCGCTGGACTGACGCTTCGCTCTGTAGAAGTATTGCATGACCACATCCAGAGGCACCTCCACAAAGGCTGTCGAGTCAGCGCCAAGGGTCTTTTCCGCTGAGGCATCCCGCACATTAGCCCTGGGGGTCACTCCCGCCATGGCATATGCGACCAACAAAGTGAGAAGACGATCCAAATAGTTCTCCCAGTCGTGAGGGATCTTGTCCTCGTCCTCAGCCTCCTCAGTGTAGAGCCCTTCAGTCTCCTGCACAGCAGCACTGGTTGGATCCGTACACCCTGTTCCGCACTCCTGTAAACTCAGGAGGCTACACAGGTTGAATCTCTCCCGCCCAGTGCTACAGTCGTGGGACTCCACGTAGAGATCAGCATCCTCAATGATGTGATCCCCTACAAGGGAGGATACTCCACCGGAGTCCTACCTCATAGGGAGGGAAGGGAGGGAAAAGAAAGAATGATGAAGCCAGTTTGGCTCAGACTTGAGCCAAAATGGATTCATCAGCTTACATACTCACCCTAATGATAAGTCACACCCAGTGCCTGCCAAACACGATGCATACATATAAATAAATGAACGAATGAATGAATGAATGAGTGAGTGAGTGAATGAATGAATGAATACGAATGAATGGATACGAATCACTGAATACGAATGAATGAATATGAATGAATGAAAACTAATGACTGAATACGAATGAATGAATACGAACGAATGAATACGAATGAATGAATACAAATGAATGAATACCAATGAATGAATACAAACGAATGAATGAATTCGATTGCATGAATACGAATGAATGAATACGAATGAATGAATACGAATGAATGAATACGAATGAATGAATACGAATGAATGAATACGAATGAATGAATACGAACGAATGAATACGAATGAATGAATACGAATGAATGAATACGAATGAAAGAATACGAATGAATGAATACGAATGAATGAATAGGAATGAATGAATACGAATCAATGAATACGAATCAATGAATACGAATGAATGAATACGAATGAATGAAAACGAATGAATGAAAACGAATGAATGAAAACGAATGAATGAATGGATGAATGAATGAATGAATAAATGAATGAATGAATGAATGGATGAATGAATACGAATGAATGAATACGAATTAATGAATACGAAAGAACGAATGAATATGAACGAAGGAACGAACGAATGAATGACTGAGTGAATGAATGAATGAATGAGTGAAAATGAATGATTGAAAATGAATGAATGAGTGAATGAATGAACGAACGAATGAATGAATGAATGAATGAAAATGAACGAAAATGAACGGATCAAAATGAATAAATGAAACTGAATGAATGAAAACGAATGAATGAAAATGAATGAAAGAAAACGAAAGAATGAAAATGAATCAATGAAAATGACTGAATGAAAATGAATGAATGAAAAAGAATGAATGAATACGACTGAATGAATACGAATGAAGGAAAATGAGTGAAAGAACGCATGAATGCATGAACATGAATGAAAGGACGCATGAATGAATGAAAATGAAAGAAAGAACGCATGAATGAATGAAAATGAATGTAAGAACGCATGAATGAATGAAAATGAATGTATGAAAATGAATGAATGAAAATAAATGAATGAAAATGACTGACTGACTGACTGACTGACTGACTGAATGAATGAATGAAAGAACGCATGAATGAATGAATGAATGAATGAAGGAAGGAAGGAAGGAAAGGAAAGGGAAGGAAAGGAAAGGGAAGGAAAGGAAAGGGAAGGAAAGGAATGGAATGGATTGGAATGAATGAAAGAATGAGCGAATGAATGAATGAATGAATGAATGAACGAATGAAGGAACGAATGAAGGAACGAATGAAGGAGCGGATGAAGGAACGTCTGAAGGAATGAATGAAGGAATGAATGAATGAATGCATGAATGAAGGAATGAATGAATGAACGAATGAACGAGTGATGGATGGAAGGAAGGAAGGAAGGACGGAAGGACCGAAGGACGGACGATAAAGGTGATGATGAATGATAGGTTAAATGTCATGCATCTATATACATCCAACAACACAAGAGTTTTGCTCCAGGGCTGGCCCCACAGGAGGTTTTCTCCAGGACTGGCACCTAAAAAAGAATCAGAATCACAAGAGATAAAGTATAAAGGTTTGTATTTACACAGAGAAACATTTACACACAGAGGCCTCTATACAAAACAGCTTTTACACACAGATGGTCTTCCACAGAAAAGCTCTTACACACATACGCTTTTACACACAGAAGCTTGTACACAGAATTGAAAAGACATTTTGCAAAGAAAAGCCTTTACACGCAGAGCTTTTACAAACAGGTGCTTTTACACAGAGAAGCCTTGAACAGAGAAGCTTTTACACATAGGCACTTTCATCCCCAGAGCATTCGAGCAGAGCAGCTTTTACACACAGATGCGTTTACACAGAGAAGCCCTTGCACACAGAAGCCTTTACCCACAGACGCCTTTACACAGAGAAGCCTTTACACAGAGCAGCTTTGCAGGCAGATGCTTTTACACACAGAAGCTTTCGCTTGCAAGAGCCGTTACACATAGCAGCTTTTCCACAGAGAAGCCGTTAAACAGAGCAGTTTCTGCACAGAGGCCTTTACACACGCAGAGGCCTTTACACAGAGCAGCTTTTACACACAGAAGATGCCTACACAAAGAAGCTTTTTTGACGCACGGAAGCTTTTACACAGAGCAGATTTTGCACACAGACGTCTCTACACACGGAAGCCTTTACACAGAGAAGCTCTTGCACAGAGAATATTTTTTGCACATAGAAGCTTTTCGCACACAGCAGCCTTTGCACACTGAAGATTTTACGCAGAGAAGCCTTTACACAGAGGAGCTTTCTTTTCCACACAGAAGCTTTTACACCGGCGACCTTTTACACACAGCAACTTTACACACACAGAAGCCGTTACAAAGAAATACAAAGGGCAGCTATGCACAGAGAGAAGCTTTTACACACAGAAGCGCTCAAACACAGGCACCCTTCCACGCAAACGTTTTCACACAAAGAAGCTTTTACACAAAAGAGCTTTGACAAATAGATACATCTACACACAAACGCTTTTGCACACAAAAGCTTTTAAACAGAAAATATTTGACACAGAAAAGCTTTCTCACGAAGTTGCTTTTACACATAGACACCTTTACACACAGAAGCTTTTGAATAGAAAAGCTTTGACATATAGGAAAAACATTGACACACAGACACTTTCACACAGAGAAGCCTTTACAAAGAGAAGCCTTCACACAGAGAAGCCTTTACAAAGAGCAGCTTTTACACACAGAAGCTTCTACACACCGAAGCTTTTACACCGAGAAGCCGCGAAGCCTTTACACAGAGCAGCTGTTACCCACGGAATCTTCAAGACAGAGAAGCCTTCGCACAGATCAACTTTTACACACAAACGCTTATACAGAGAAGCCTTGAAACACAGAAGCTTGTACACACATGTCGTAGGATGTTTGGAATGTAGATGGAGATTGTGTCAATTAATTGTTCCGATAAGGTACGTGATGTAGATAAAGTTGATGTAGATGATGCTGGCGATGGAAAGGATGTAGGAGATATGGGTGATGTATGTTATGTAGATGAAATAAAAAGTTGAATTTGGCATCACTTCTTGCAGAAGCCCCCGACAAAAACGAAATATAACACAAGACAGCGATAGATGGCAAGCAAGATTTGTAGTCTTGTAGCTTCGAGGGGTCCATTTCCTGCAAACGGGTTTAGAGCACATGCCTCTAACGAGATTGCGCGCATGTTTGAACCGTAAAGCATGAACTTCGCGCGCTTTCACCACACGCTATAGTTTGAACTTCTGCAAGGCGCCATTCCAAATGATGGAGGGTCTCCAAAGGGCTTTTCATTTCCTGCGCAAACACAGGGGATGTGGGTGTGACGTGCTTGGCAAATAGTCTTTCTTGCGTTGGCAAACAAGCTGTCTCATGCGGGTAGTGTCAAGATAACTAGGGGGCACGGTCACATGAGTCATGAGTCACCACAAGCTCCTTCAGCCCCGGGGCAGCCGCTACTTCATTTTGGTGTCGAAGCTCCAATTTCGCCTCAGAGGACCACAACTAGACGGCAGCGTGCTCCGAAGGAAAGCACACAACAAAATTTCTTTTTTCCCCACATTGACGTGTGGGGTTTTTCTTTTTAGTGCTGTATCCGCTCCGCACGCCGCCTCCCGCCTGCCGCCTGTCCTCCCTCCACATCCTCCCTCCCACCTCCCACATCACTCACTCACTCTCACATACATACATCACACACACACTCATCACTCTCACATCACATCTCATCACTCTCTCACACACACACACCTACACTCACTTAATCACACATCATCACTCTCACACACACATATACACCTACACGCACTTAATCACACATCATCACTCTCACACACACACATATCATCACTCGCACTCTCTCACGCACACACCTACACTCACTTAATCACACATCATCACTCTCACACTTACACTTACACTTACACTTGCACTTGCACTTGCACTTGCACTTGCACTTACACTTACACTTACACTGACACACACACACATACATCATCACTCGGATGTACGCCCTGGCGTCCCTCCGGTGTCCTTTGGTCTCCGCAGCTTTTGCGTGGCAGGCGTGGCGCTTGGTGCACTCCGAAGGGGTCGGCGGATGTACGCCCTGGCGTCGCTCCGGTGTCCCTTGGTCTCCGCCGCTCTGCTGGTGGCTTTTGCGTGGCAGGCGTGGCACTTGGTGCACTCCCAAGTCCCTTGGTCTCCGCCGCTCTGCCGGTGGCTTTTGCGTGGCAGGCGTGGCACTTGGTGCGCTGCCAATAGGTCGGATGTACGCCCTGGCGTCCCTCCGGTGTCCCTTGGTCTCCGCCGCTCTGCCGGTGGCTTTTGCGTGGCAGGCGCGGCACTTGGTGCAGTGCCAAGGGGTCGGATGTACGCCCTGGCGTCCCTCCGGTGTCCCTTGGTCTCCGCCGCTTTTGCGTGGCAGGCGTGGCACTTGGTGCACTCCCAAGTACGCCCTGGCGTCCCTCCGGTGTCCCTTGGTCTCCGCCGCTCTGCCGGTGGCTTTTGCGTGGCAGGCGCGGCACTTGGTGCACTGCCAAGGGGTCAGATGTATGCCCTGGCGTCCCCCGGTGTCCCTTGGTCTCCGCCGCTCTGCCGGTGGCTTTTGCGTGGCAGGCGTGGCACTTGGTGCGGTGGTGTTGCACCGATGGCGGCCACTTGTCTGAAGCCATCTGAATATCGCGGGGGCAAAAACACCGCTGTTGCTGGGCGATTGGTGATCTGGACTCGGCGGGAACTGTCTGCCAAACAGCCCAGTCAAGGACATGGACAGCCGAAAGGCAAAAAAGGCAAGTGGGGCAAAGGCGCCTCGTCCTCTGAGTCAAACGTCGCGCGCAAGGTAGAGGCCCATTTGGCAGCCAATGGCAATCCAACAGAAGTTCTCTACATCGAGGCATGGGGTGAGATCGGTAACAAGCTCTTGCAGCTCTGCCAGGTCGGGGACTTGGTCGCAATCCAAGGAGGCACG